TTTTCATCTGAGAGCCATGCCTTAATGATGCTGAGTAAGCGCCAGATTTTAGCGGCAGAAAGGGCAATAGTAGTACCTAGTACCTTGCGGAGGTAGGTGTGTTATATAGGCCGTCAAGTGGCTTCCGGATCGATACTGTTAATACTATTAAATTCATTTCCTGTACGACCAAAACAAAACAAATTACACAATTGATCCCCATTTCTCTTGCTCTTTTAAAATTTGTTATTTTTTGCCTCAAAATCCAAAATTGTGTGGACGGAGAGCATTTCGTATCCGAATTTTTTCGAACACGATGACGTCATGATTGTCATGGGAACATTTTTGCCGCCTCTAATCAGACTAGTGTGGACGCGAAACATTTTATCCGTTTTCATGTGTGGACGGAAAACTTTTTGTTCGGTTTCGGTGTGAAAGTTGCGGATTCAAATTTATTCGGCATAGTGTGGACGTGGCCTTAGAATGCCAAACGCGTATTAAAAACAGTGGATGATGGCACGGGTCGCCGGTCACCGCATGCATCTAATTAACGTACTTCCCATGTGCCATTTCCGTCTCAGCTTCTATGTTCTAACTATCGGTTTCTGAACCCGACAACGATCGATTCCTCAATTGAGTGTATACGCTTAGAATGTGTTCCAATAAGATAAAGGATACATTTCCGTTTCAATTGTTTAACTAATTAAGAAAACATTTTTTTCTTAATCAAATTAGTCATGTTAGTTATATTGTTAATAATTAATCATAACCATAACTTTAAACAGTATCTTATTAAGGCTACTGAGATGTTATATTATTTCTCTTTCTACATTCCAGTAAAAGATGCAGCTGCTAGCTCATTAGTTATATAGCTGTGCGTTGACGTCGAGAAAATAAAACCCATATAAGTATACTAGTCATTTCATCAGCAGGTCTTTCTCTGGTGTACGAAAAGATTACTTACTAAGGTGCGTAAGAAAAAGCCCTTCATGTTGCACGGATTTTTGCTTTACACGCAAATTTGTTTGTTTGTTCGTTTTAATTTTTTTCTTGAACCTTTATGATACTGGGTTAGAAAGCGAAGAAATTTCCGTCTGTGTTTTTACCTGTTTTTTTATAGTTTCTACGAGTTAAGATCGATTTTATTTTAAAAACTAAAACGGCATCACAGTAGAAATCTTGTTACGTTAATTGAGGAAACACAGAGAGGGACAGCTAGTAAAACGATGCCAGGGAAAGAGTACCTAGCAATTTAATGAACTATAAAGCCTAATAGCAATAAAAAAAGTAACTCGTTGAAAAACATGATGGTATCAGAAAACATTTCATTTAAGGTTCGAAGGTTTTTTGAAATCGCAAATACGAGCAGAATTTAGAAAATGAAATGTGCGAACGAACATCACAATTAATATATAAACTGCTGTTAAGTATTGGTGTGGTTGCTTTATTGCCAATTTTCTCTACTTTCTAACCTTAATTTCTAACCTTAATTTCTAAATCATCTTTAATTCAAGATTCAGAAAATTCTTTTCGGTTTTGAACATAGAAATTTTGCAAAGACAAAACATTTTAGTAACGTGGTGGAAAAAGTTTTGAGTTCTAATATCTAAAGCTGCTGGTAAATCACTTTGGAGCAATGGAAAAAATTGGGGAATTCGTACCATTTGATTTGTAAGCCATATTATTAGACTATTTATACCTAACATGTTCGCAATTTTTGTTTATAAAGTTTCTCTATGACGTTTACTGCAAAGCTTCAATTTGATCGGAAATATTTTAAGGCCTTCAAACTTGAGCCTTAAATGAGGACAGGTCGGGACACTGGTAATTTTGCTTATCCCTTGTTTATTTGGTTTTGCATCGCTATTAATGACTGTCGTCGTATTTCATTACCTGTTTGTCGTTACTATGGTAACACAGCTTCATTTAATTGCAAACATTAATCCTCATCCATTGTTTGGTGTTAAAATCATTGACGAAAACTGTTCAAATGTAATCACACTTAAATTACAAGAAATTAGCAATGTAAACTGTTTCTTGCAGCGGTTTATATTTTAATTCCTTCCAATGATAATCAGCTTTAAATAAAAGCTCCTCTAAACAATCTGCGATGCAAGTACGTATGAAATTAATATTTCTAACTGAAAACATCTCCCGATTCTTTCGATCACTAATTATTTTAATTATTTTGCTGATTTTCAGTGACAACGTTCTTGCAATTAGGTGTATTTACCCAGCGCGGTTTTAAGGAAGTGACCTTTTAAAACTGCTGCATACACAGATTCATGTGGCTTTAAGTGGTACTGCACCTTTCTTTCATCTTAGTCTTCATTGCTTTTCCTTCCTATAGATTCGAAGGAAAAAAGCAAACTTTTAAGAATGGAGATACTGGTACCAGTCATTCTCCTGTCGCTATGGAAACATGGACACGCACAGTCTTGTCAGGCAACAGCATACTCTCAGTTCAATCACAAAATCCAGGGTCACGTGATCAAAACCTATTCTGCGGTGACATCAAGCCTCCAGTGTACAGAAAAGTGTGAACTGCATGCAGATTGCTACAGCATTAACTACTGCTTCAGTCAAGGGATCTGTGAGCTGAATAACGCTAATCACTTGACTAACCCCGAAAGTCTGGTCTACTCGGCTGGCTGTCATTACTTGAATTACATTTTACGAGCTGTGCCGAGATGCAGTAACAAACTGTGCTCCTATCCTCTCGTGTGTAAGGTCGACAATAACGGGCATAGCCACAATTGTGTTCCATGTGAAGGTAAAATTAATAGATGCTTATGTTCTGCAAAAATACTGCTCGCTGTGTTTCTTTTCCCGGACTTTCCTGAACATGACTTGTTGGGGTCATTCTCTTTTTAATCTTTTTTTAAAGTTTTTTCAAGAGTAGTATCACTTTCTCGATAGAAGCTGCCATTTTTCGATATTTGAAATAATAAAACTTAAACTTTGAATTCCAGAACATCAGGTTAATTTTGACGCGGTTAATGTGCACCACCTTAATGGCATGGACTTTTAGAAGCTGCACCAGGCCTAGGATTTCCCGACATGAAGGGGGTACATGTACAATCCCAATGCACTTATTCTTAAAAAATACTCTCTCGTTCCTCCCCAAAAGTACATTTACGTAACAATCAAAATGGAGGATACGCCCATTAATATAAAAATTGAAGGGCACGCCCCAAGGCACCTGTTTGTTAATTTTGCGCGTACGTTCGAGTGATAATTTCGTTATCATGACCGGCGCATGCGTGCCCAAGCATCGTGTTCAACATGTATCGCTTTTGTTTTTAAGTCTATTCAGATGCAAAGGAAGTCATGTCGTTCCCGAGGAAAAGTGTCGAGGATAAAGTTGAGCATGAGCTTCAGGCTGACGTTCGACTGACAGCATTTACGATCAGCATGTGGGTACAAGCAGACCCAAGTACAGATAAACTTTCACCGTTCTGTTATGCCACAGTCGGTCAACCAAATGAAATCAGTGTTTATTTAACCAAGGGGTACACGGAACTGAGTATTGCCAGCACTCTTGAGTAAGTAGACAAGGAGGGCTTGTGACAGAACATAAATTCACTTTGGGTGAAATGCTTTCCCAATTGTGCTTTCCCATCAGTTCATGATCTCTTGGGATTCAGTATTCGGCTCTACTTCGGTCACATACATCTATAGCAGAAGTGAAGGCCCTGAACGATTTAAAAAAAAGCTCTTTTCAAGTATATGGTACAGAAAAAGAAAAAAACATTGCTGCTCGCAATGACACGTGGTTTGAAATGGCATTCGACAACCAAAAGAAAAGGGTCTAGTTTCCACATTATATCCATCGTAGTCAAGAATGGGATATCACTAGCTACTTCTCGTCCCATTAATTCTAGCTTTTGAAAGATAAAAGAGTAAATCATGAGTACATACAATGATGGGTATTCCTATAGTAGACAGTTCCCTTATAAAGGTAACTGCAATGACTTCAATAGCCTCATGGAGCTTTTTTTTCTAGGCAGGGTTACCCTTCAGTGATTGACGGCAAGTGGCATCACCTTTGCGCAACATGGCAAAACTTTGACGGTACGTACAAATTCTACATCGATGGAGTAAAGAAATTGGGTGTCAAGACGTCCATGCGCCAAGGCCGCGTTATTCAAAAGGGAGCGCTGTTGCTTGGACAAGAGCAGGATAGCTACAAAGGAGGATTTCAGGCGAGCCAAAGTTTCCAAGGCAACCTTTCAAGTGTCAACATGTGGAACAAGGTACTAAATGCCCAGGAGGTTTCAGCCCTTGCCAAAAAATGTCCCACCGAAGAAGGGAATTTCATAAGTTGGTCAACCTTGAAGACCAAGAAGTCGAGTGGTGTGAAGTTGACTTGTTCAAATCAGTGTGCTTAGGTCGACTTTACATGTAATATTAGGTGCTGAGTGAGATCGTGATCATCCAGCAAGCATCCCTGATCTCTCACTTGGCTCTTCATGACTTCAGT